GCGAACTATATATATATATAAATAGTTTATAATCCATCCATCGATCTTGGATCGATCACTCGATTAAAGAGAGTTTTGGCTTTACTCACAAAAAAGGAGCTGCCCTTCCGAAACGACAAAGATCTGGTGGGTCTGGTCACAAGTTGGGCCGCGGTAACGAGGGTGAGACAGAGGATGGCCCGGAACAACAATCGCATAATCAATGAACGCCGGGCTCTCGGCCAAAATCTCCAACTTGCACCGAATATTCTTCGCCTGTCCTCCACGAATCCTCGCACGATGGGATTGAGACGGTTGGGCGGAACCGGCGTTCCTCTTGGTTATTGATAACGGTGCTTTGCCCCCTCTGCCACTAACGACTTTTTCCCCCCTATTCGCCGAGATCTTGGCGACCTCCGTCTTTCCTTCCAAGCTCTTCCTTTCGTTTTTTTTTCCGTTTCTTGGTTGTTCCAAATATTCGAGAATATCCGGTATTATACTTGAATTAATTTCGATCAAAAATCGAATCGAATCGAACGAGTTGCACGAGAAATTAAATTTTTATTCGATATTTTTTTTCCTTTTTCTTTTTTTTCTTTCAACAAATTCAATCATCGAATATTGTTGGAATGGAAGAGAGAAGCAAGAATTCGTTTCGTTTCGTTTCGCCGAGCTTTCGTGTCTTTTTGAAAATCCGTATTTTCTCTGTACATATACGAACGCTTATATTCGAACGGTTCATTAAACCTGGCGGTGTAAATGCAGTCAACTATACACGATTTGGGAAGGGGGCGAGGGGGGGGGAGGGGCGAGGGGAGGAAAGAAAAAAAAGGGGAGGAAGAAACAGAGCGAAGAAGGCACGAGCGAGGATTTCAAAGACGAAAAAGTAAGCGAGTGCGAGTTGATGTTGAAATAAGAAAATTCGCGTGTTTTAGTTTCCCGCATACCATCGCGTTCCCGGTTAAATCAACTTTGTTTAAACCGACCTACCTTGGCTCGACTCGCTTCGCTTGAAATAACTCCATTGCGCGCATCCAAAATACCCTTAAAACTCGGGGTTTAATAACAAATTATCCTACGCAACACACCTATCTTCTCGCCCGTCTCGCCAACATATTTATGAATCTAATCCCGGAGCTGTAGCTAAAGTGCAAAGTTTTCTCCTTCTTTTCCCCTTTTCTTTTCTCTCTCTCTCTCTCTATATATATTATTTTTTTTTATCTCTCCCTCTCGTCGAATTAATCTCTTCTTTAACGCGATGCAAGTCCAAGGGGAACGCGGGGAGGGGGAGAAGGAGGAGGAGGAGGAGGAGGGGACGATCGATTAAACGAACTCGATGGAGAGACGGTGTGATGCGATGGATCATCAAAGAGCGTGGATATTTAAATAAATAGAACGGGGTTGAAATTACTTCGTCCCAGCATTCTTAATTGACGGGAAATGGAAAAAAGTTGGACGTGTTTATCGCGTATGGAAACGTAAACGACGAGAAGCAAGTGCAAGTTTGGTTGATAAAAGGGCGGTGGGAAAAGCGTAGCCCCGTGACCCGGGCGGGGTGTAACTGGGTCGAGGAAGAAAATGGAGGCGTGGAGAGTGCGCTCGAACGAATAATGATGGATATTGTGTCTGTATAATGTACAACGGTAACATCTTATTGTCGATGCTCAATAAATCGTGGATATTCTGTCTAAGATTCCTTGGCCGGGAGGGCACGTGGGATAAATCATCGAGCAATTCTTCCCCCCTCTTCCAAGCGTGGCCGCTTCTAAATATTCGTAGTCCATCGTGAAAGCGTCTCCTTCGCCCGGTCTGAAACGAAAATCTCATTTCGTTTCGCGTGACAGAAGCAGAGAAACACCGCCCCCCCCCCCAAAAAAAAATTCTGATTTCACGATTTTCAATACGATCAGCGGAGGAATTCAGAATTTTTTGGGGGGAGAGGGCCGAGTATCCATTTTTTTTCAATAAATAAAAATTCTATCGATCCGTGTTACGTCAACAACAAGTGCAACAACTCGCCGACCAATCCCTCGTCCTTCAACGAAGTCGATGCAGCCTCGCAGATATTTTTCTTCAAGCAAGCTCTCCCATCCACGTTTCGCCTGGAAATGATCGTTAACAGTTAATAATTAACGATGCAGGGCATTACATTAGACAACCATCTAATCGAAACAATTTTATTACATATATCGTCAACAATTAAACGCATTATCTCATATACGATTAAATTTACAACGTTACAAGTTAATAGAATTTATAGAATTTATATTTATATATATATATATATATCTGAATTGTTCGCCCTGTTAATTATTTATCAAACCTATACACGCAACGATAACACGCATTATACATTCATCTCTGGCCGGCGAAATATTTTCATAAATCGTGAAAGAGTCGTCGTTGAATTAATTATTAACTATCAATAAGCGATAAAATGACAAAGGCGACGGAACGATTTGTAAAGAGCGTCGTTCGTTATTAACGCGAATTTTAAACGCTTCGAATTATTAATCGTTGATGGTGATCTCTCCTTCTCTGGTTTTAGACGAATCTTTATATATAAATCTTAAATGATATCGAAGATGTTGATTTGATTAATCGAGGAACGAGTTATTTTTATTCTATTCGATGGAAAAAAATTTTTCTAGTATTCTCTTATTATTATTATTATTATTATTATTACTTTTTATCCATCATTCGATATAAGATTGGTCGAAGATTATTCTAGGTTAAAGGCACTTACATGTCAAGTTCACGTTGAAGAACGTCGTATACAGGGACCCTCTCGCTCCAACTCACTCTACGTCGTCGTCGTCTTCGCGACGAGTCTTCGAAGTAGTTGGTGAAGAAGGTAGCGTTGTTTGGCAACATGTATTGAAACTGAATGTTTTGGCCGTATGACAAAATCTGGCCCGATACTTGCACCGGCATCGCGAACCCCACCACGAGCTTGACAGAAATGCGATAAAGAAAGGCTTAGAGTTTAGAAACGCACGATGAATTTGATTCCTTGCGTCTCGAAAACAACGCGATTTCAACGCGTGATATAAATTCGAGCGAGATGATATTCTTACAATATTCTTAAGGTATGAACGCAAGGTATCCAATTTTTTACGATAAAAATTTTCGCTCAACAATTTCCAAGAATTAAAAGTAATCGAAATTGTATCGTGCAATCAAATAAATTTGGTTCGATCGTCTCAAGTGAAAATATTATACGAGCAAGTGTGTGTTCTCGAGTACAATTATGTTAAGCACTCGGAGAATGGTTGATAAACGATTATCGGAAGGAATTATCAAAAGAGGAAGAAGTTCCACCTCGCGAGAGGAGAAAATTTTGCAAGAATTTACACGGGCGGGAAGAAGAAAGAAACCGGATAGCTTTTCTTTTTTTTTTTTTCTTCCCTTTCAAGTCTTGTCCCGAACAGAGATAAATCTCATCGCGCGTAACGAAATGAAAAAACTAGCGGAAACGGAATCAAACGTGCAACAAAAATGGCTTCTTCTACCGCTGTGCATCCCTATGATTTTTACATTATATCTTCCACGAATATGAAAACGAAGATGGGAATACAATCTATGTCGGGATAAAGTCCAACAAAAGAAAGAAAGAACTGGTGGAAGGAAAATTTGAAGCTCACCTCGGCGAGGCTGGATCTTCGCCTCTCAACTTTTCGAATACCGCTTAACCCTCATTCGTTTCCAAGAAAAGATATTACGGCGTCGCTGAATCACCTTTCTTCCTCTCACGTTTCTTAGCTTCCATCTCTCTCTCTCTCTCTCTCTCTCTCTCTCTCTCTTTTTTTTCCTACTATCACCACTTCGTACGTATACATACGTACTCGAGAATTATCTCTAACTCGAGCCTGCTGTAAATGTTTTATTTTCTTTTTTTCGCGATAAGAAAGAAGATCCTTCTCTCTTAAAACCAGACGAGAGAGTTCGAACCACGCGTCCTCCGTTGATGAGATTCTTGCCTGAAATTCTCACTTCGCACATCGTTCGTTCGTTCGAGATCGTGTGTGTACTTTTGTGCATGTAAACATCGCGTCTTTCCAACCCTTCCCAGCTTCGCGTCCCCATTGAAACGCGTTGCATGACACGCGAGATCCAAAAGGATCGTGGAAAACGGATGGTTAAATAAATTCAATTCAACTGTTTTTGAGAGAACACCCTTTCGTCGTTTTCACCGTGCACAAAAGTGAAACGACGCGTGCTACAACTTCGTAATTGTCCTGCTGATAAGGTAGAAGGAAGGCTTGAAGCCCGTCCAAGGCTCGGGCGAAGAGACATGGAAGTAATTCAACGCCGCCCAACGTCTCTTCTTTGCGCCCGCTCTCTTCACCCGTTCCTCCTTTTTCTTTCTCACTTTGAAGCTGCGCTTTTGACGCAGTGCAGCTCCGCCTGTTTAGATACATACTGACCCAGAAACTGGGTGAATTTTATTTCACGCCAGCCTCCCGCCTCTCCCCAAGGCGAACGTCCAAATATTTGCCTTATAGTCGTTCCTGTTGCTTGGAAATTTGCTAATCAAACACTTTTACGCCGTGGAAACCGTCGGGGGTGACGTCGATCGAGGGAGAACGATTCGAAATCCTGCTTAAGACAAGCATCCACCTGTGCGGTGACCCGAACCCCGCCGAAATTCTTCCAATTTCTTTTTCCAAGTTTCCTTTTCGACTGGAAATTGTAAAACGCGAGAAAATGAAAGCGCTCGACGAGAGATAAAAATAAATAAAAGGACGAGTCAATTATCGGCGCGATGGAGGACAGGAAAATGTTTCCTTCCCACCAGGTTACTTGCAAGCGAACACGTCCACACCCTAAATCCCTGACGCCGCGTAACTAAGTCGCTGGCGTTAAACTCCCTCGACAAATTTTCCGTTTACTTCGTATTCCTTAGATCCGCGCGCATCTCGAGCAGGGATCCAACCGGCCAACTGCCAATTAATTCCGTACCGTGACATCCGAGACGTTAATTGGCGGAAAGAGAAACGGAAAACAGGAGACTTTTCTTTCCAATTTTCCGATTTTCGAACGCGTAATTGGAGAAAACGTTATATTTTCTCTGTTAAACGAAAATTAATTTACTTTCTCCAGAAAAAAAAATCGACAACCTGATGATAAATCAAAGGCGGATAACGAAAGACGGACCTCCTCCCTCTCTCCCGTAAAATCAAAGGAACAACAAAGTTTGAAGCAAGTTAACAACAAGCATCCAACGATATTTATACGCTTCGTGAAAAACGAAAAAGGATTGAATTATCGCTCGATACCACAACTTTCGATAATTCGAAATCTGATTATCGTACGATTTCCCGATTAATTATATCAAGCAAGGATCCGTCCGATCCAATGGAGGGCGCGGCAACGATGCTGTTATTCAAATTAGCGCGCGAGTTAAATCCTCGTGGAACGAGGGGAGGCGTGTTTTCGCGGTAATCCCATCAGCCTCGAAGAAGACGAAGCGATTATCAAGTTTTATCGCTGCCAAGTATGGATAAATACCTTCAAAACACCGCCGAGAGGATAGACGAGGGGCGGTGGATACAAGGCTTGCCTCTTCCCTCGAACTTCCCCGTTTTCACTTGCCTCGATCCGTCCCATTGTCGCGAGGAACAGCAACGACAACCTCCAGTCCATCTTCGTCCGAGTAAACATCGTCGCTCCTTATTTCCTCCTCCTCCTCCTCCTCCTCCTCCTCCTAGAAGTCTCTCCCTCTCGATGGAGGATTCGATCGCCTGAATGGAAAGATCGATCGAAAATTTGATCGAGAGAATTTACATTTTGATAAAAAACTTTTAATAAAGAGAAGTGAAATTAGACTATTGTTGGAAAATTAATCGAGGCGACTCACCTTCCAAAACGCGAAAGAAACTCCTCCGATCCGAAACTCCGAGGTAATTTCTTCGCTTCGCTGTGCGAAGCACAAACGCGCACTGCAACTCGAAACTCGTAGGCCGCAAGTCAGTCTGGTCGGGGCTTCTCCAACTTGCCCACCCTCTCCGACGAAATTAACGTATCATCTGTCAACTCATAGGAGCATAGTTGCGCTCCACCAAGGTTCCGACGACCGACTGTAGTCGGTTGGAACGAGCTAATTTTCCGTCCTTCCCAGACAAACCGACCTCTCTTCTTTCTCTCCTCTCTCTCTCTCTCTCTCTCTC